GTAAATATTAATAAAATCCTTTCACATTTTTTTTATATTATATAAAACTAACTCTTTAAAGTTAATTAGAAAATGTGAAAAAAATATAAGCTTAGCAAATATTTTTTGATTTTAGATGAAAAATCAAATAAGTGGAATAACTATGCTATTTGTATAGATTGTATTTGAGTATTAGGACTTGAAAAAGCTTAAAAAAAATTTACAAATACAAAACGTGTATATGCAAAACATCTTAAAAGTTGCCCATATTTTGCTGAAAAGTATACCAAAGAAGAAATTACAAGTATCATTAATGAAGCATTAGATCATAGGTCTAAAAAAAAAATAAGCAACAATATATAAATGAAAAATCTGATGATGAAAAAGAAGAATCTAATAAGTCTGAAACCTCTAATTTCAATAACTTTTTTTATAAATCTTCATCTACTATGACAAGAAGTAATACAAGTGAAGTTTCCAACATATCATATCAGAGTTTTGGTTCACTTGACAATTATATGTATTGTGAATTAAAACTAGAACAAGTTAATATATTTGAACATTTAATATTAAATATGACAGTAACATGTAGCTTACCATTTAGTTGAATTGAAAATTCAGCAACCAAGTCTTTATTCAAGTAGATTAACCCTATGCTTTTTTTACTAAATTGAAAGTAATTAAGTAGTTATATTCTTAATAAAAGCACTAGTAAAATAACAGAGAATATTATTAAAGAAGCAGTAAATGATAAATTGGATGCAATGTTGGCATTTAATAGTTGAAAAAATATCTCAAAACAAAATTTGTTAGGTTTAGTACTATTTATATCATCAAATAATATGATTATTTGAAAAGTAGAAAATATAAGTGACAAATGATGTACATAAAAAATTGTTTATAATGAAACTATAAAAGCTTTTAAAGAATTAAAACAACAAATATACAAATAAATGGGCTTATTACAGATTCAGCATCAAAAAATGCAACAGCAAGGTAATTATTTTATTAATTTTAAATTATTTTAATGTATTAATTTAACTAATTTAACTAATTTAATACTATTTTAATTAATTAGAAAATGATTATATCTTAAGTTTCATAATAAATTGTTTCTATCTTGCTTTGTATATCAAATGAATTTATGTATAGGAGACATATTTAAGGAATCATCAAGTTTAAGTAATATTGCAGAAGAAGTAATTGGAATTATTACATTTTTTAGTCATTCAAAAGTTTGGCTTAGACGTCTTCAAACTGAATAAATAAATACATATAAAATACAAATTTCTTTAGTTTCTTCTACTACATCCTGATAGAATTCTCATTACTATTACTTTGCTAATTTATTAAAAATAAAAGGTACTTTACGAGTAAGTTTAAATTAATTATTAATTTATTATTATTTATTAATTTTAAAATTAAAATTTTTTATTTTATTAGAATTTAGCTACTAAAATTGAAGAAAAAATAATTTTAGATGGATATGATTTTTCAAACAAGTATCTTGATTGTATTTTTAATAATAATTGGTGGTATCAAGTTATGAGAATAGAAGAGCTTTTAATTTCAGATTGTTCAGCATTAAATAAAATTCAAAGATATAATACACAATTATATGAGGTGCTTTATGGATTTGAAAGTATAGTAAAGGTTTTAAAAAGTTTTAATAATCAAGTTTTGGGTAATATTCTTTTGAAAAACTTGAAAATCAATGGAAACAATGGAAAAAACCACTTCTTCTATTAGCATTTTTACTTCATCTATTATATTGTGATTCAAAATTTAATTCAAATGCATCAAATTTATCTTTTGCTCATTTGGATAAATGGATACTTTATTACTATTGTACTTAGTTTCAAGAAGATTCTACTATTTTATTATCTGAATTAGAAGATTATCATGCAAAAAAATATCCATATATTGATGCAGTTGTAAAGCAATTTAAAGATAATATGTTAAGATATTGAAATTATATACAAGAATATTCAAAAGAATTAAAAGAATTATATAAAGTTAGGCAACGTATTTTTTCAATTACAATTTCAACTGCTTTTTTAGAATGATTATTTTTTATTATAGGTTGATATCATTCTAAAAGAAGAAATAGATTAAAGGTAATAATTTATAATTTATAAGTTTATTTTTTATTTTTGTTTTTATTTATTTATTTATTTTTTTTTTAATTTAATAAATAAATTAATTAATTATATTTTAATAGGCAGAAAAAGTTTTAGGAATGACTTAAATTCAAGCTTAAATGCAACGTGATGAGCAGTTTTTACAAATTGATAAAGAAGCACAACAATATAAAAAAATGATTTCTAGTCTTTTTACTATCAGAAATACTGATGATGATATTCAAATATTTGATGAAGATATTATTTTACCACTTAATATATTAGATAATGAAACAGAAAATGATGAAGAATATGAAACTTTAGGTAATAAAATAACTAATTATTGGTAAAATATGATAGCAAATTGGATTGAACTTATTGAAGATGAAGTTCAAGATTTAGAAATAGAAAAAACAAATGTAAATGAAAACTTTGATATTACTGTAGCTAATATTTCTCAAATAGTACATCCTGTAAATGATATACAAGCAAAATGGAATTTATGTGATATATTTGCAAATAATTTAGAATTTCCCAATTATTTAGGAAGTTTTGTAACAGGAACAATTAATAAATAAAATCATTAGTATCATTAGTATTTTATATATATCATGTGATTTATTTTATATATTTTTATTGGTTGATAAAATATTTGGCAATTGGACTAAGTCCAATTGTTCAATTAGTCCAATTGACAACACTGGTGTAGATAGTTCTCCGTCTAGCAAGAGGGCTAGGATCAAAAAAATTATCAAAAAATAATGTGTATCGTGGGCTAGGTCCCGAGCTTTGTATTTATTTTTGCATGTATTAATAAAAAATTTTGCTTGGTAAAAAAACCGTTCCTTCGGAAAATGATGAACATCATGTGGCTAGTACCTGAATTCGTAGTTGCATGTGGCTTATATGTTAAACAGGTTAAATCGATTACTTAAAATGCACAGTATGATATATTGATATCGGAAAAATTC